CGGTTCAGGAAATACCAGCTTCTCCCCCAAACACCTCTCAGAATAGTAAGTGAGACAGGCTCATTTCACATGCAACGGAGTTAGCATTAGGCCCGGAGATGTTTTCTCCGGCCGCACAGAGCTGGCACAGCCCTGGCCCACGCTCAGCGCCTGGCGCTCCGGCAGGACTGGACCTTTGCTCCCTGCCTGGCAGCCGGCCTGGGGCCTGGGGCTGTCGACGTGGCATCACCGGCCCCTGGGTCAGGGCACCAGTGCTGCCGGCAGGGTCTCTTTGCAGCAGCTCGGAAAAAGGGGATTGCGGTGAGAGACAAGATGAAAGGGGAGGGAAAGGAGACGCTTCGATTGGGTAGAGTGTGCCCATCGTGGGAACTGTTTGCCTTGTGATAAGGCTCTGCAGAACAGCAAATAAATTGCACGGTGGGTTGTCTCTGGCAGGCGGCCTTGAGCCCTGCGCGTGTGCGGGAAGGTGAGTGGCCTTCTCTGGGTTTGGGGGGAGCGTGCCACTCGCCGCGCCAGGGTAGTGGCATTTTGGTGTTAAAGGCAGCCCTGGTTAAGTCTGGCCCTGCATGTGGATGCTGGGGCTGTGTGCCCCGGCACATGTGAGTGTGTTTGGGCCTGGGGACCCACCTCTGCGCTGCGTGCAGAGGAGACGCAGCATGGCCATGGGCCGGAGTGGTGCGTCAGAGCTGCGCAAGCATCCAGGGTGCAAGCGGAAAGCTGTCAGCTCGAATCTACTCCTCTGCCCGTCACACCGGCTGCTGGGGCTGCCCGCACCAGGGTGCACGGATGTGTGTGTGGGCACCCTGGAGCAAGTGGCCTATTAACAAACCCGAAACACCAAAGCAACTGCCCTCCTCATGAGCCGATGGCCCAGAAAGGCCCATCCAGCCATGGGTAATGGTCAAGGCCACTTTGAGCACCGTGACAGGTTCCAGGGAAGGACCCAATGGCTGCTGCCCACCTCTAGTGGTGAGCCCCACTGCAAGCAGCACCACAGAGCATGCCGGGGCATCTGCTCCCAGGGCTCACCCGGCCCTGAATGCCCAAACCCATCCTGGAGGTGCCATGCCACAACATCACAATAGGCAGATGCTCCCATCTTTCCCACTCTGGTGGCCCCAAATGCAGTTTAGGGCTTTGCACAGGGCAACCCATCCTCCTCCTGCTGACAGCTGGCCCCGGTTGCCATCTCCTCTGTCCCCTGCTCGCCTGCTCAAAGCATGGCCCTGCCAGCAGCATGGGCATGGGCGTGGGCACAGAAACCCCGCCATGGCCTCTTCCTTGGGGCTGGAGCTGAGTCAGCCATACTGATTTCCAGACATGAATCTCAGCTGTGGGGTTGGCAGGCTTTCTCTACCCTGTCTGTACTGCGAGGACATGTGATAACCCCAATCTCGCTGAAATCTCACACTTGCCCCAGTGGATTTAGCTGTAACCAAACTCCATGAGCTCAGCCTTTTCTCTCCTGATGGCAGGTCCTGGTGTCATCGCACTTGGTGAGACTGCATATAGCCCTGCTCCAGGCAGTGTGGAGATGATGCCCACCCTGCCAGCTCTCTGGTGCAGCCAGCCTGTGCGCCTGGAGACCCAGCCTGGCACTCAGCACCATCCTGCCACCTCCCCAGGGCTGGGGATATGTCATGATCCCACTATGGGGAACACTGAGCTGTATGCACAGGGTGGCACTCATGCATCTTTCTCACTGGCCTGACATGCTGTCCACCTCCGCCCAGGCGTCTGTTTGCTAGAAGAGGTTACATTTGGTCTCGCATGGTGTGTCCTGGCCAGCACAGAGCCCTGCCCTCCCTTGCTAGGACAGAGACACATGTGTGTGAAGGCCTTGCTCCGAAAAGCCTTAATTCCCAGCCATTTCTGGCAGACAGCACACAGTCCTGAGCTCGCCCCGGCACCGGCAGGCTGGCAGTCAGCCTGCCCCAGCAGCCAGGGCACCGCAGTGGGGGATCTCAGTCCTGGAAAATGCCATATTTCTACTGAACACCTCGCTTCCAGACTGAATTTATTTAAAAGGCAGAAAACCCAGCTCAGAGCAAAGTACAACCTGGAGCGGGACGTTCTGGCGGGGGTGGGGGGGGCTCCAGGTCAGAGTAACTCTTTACTCGGCAGCTGTCTGCAATCTGAGCTGGACATTTCAGACAGGGCCGATGGGGGTCCATCATGTCAGAGAGCTGAGGCTTGGCCAGGACCTGATAGTGCTGACGTATAGCTGGAGGACATATATCCCTGGAAAGCCTGTCTCTTGGGAGGTGCTGTGCTATTCTGGTTCCTCAGCACAGTGGTGACAGCACGTGAACTCTAGGCCCCTGTGGGAGCTCACTGCACAGTGTCTGAGGATGCCAGAGGTGAGCTGTGCTGAGTGCCAGGAGCCACACAGAGGAACCTGGCCCCAGCTGGCGGGGAGACGCTCACCCCCAACTCTGGACTGCCTGGATGG